TCACCTGCAGCTCTCGTTGAGGCCATTGATATCCATCCTACAGCAGATTTTGATACCAGGGAAAGGTCACTCATGCCGGATGGTTCAGAAAGTTCAGAACTTGACGAGAGGATCATTGCGAAGGCCAATGAAATAACAACTAAGATTTTGCGCTCGGAGGTGCATGGTTATAAATGGATTAAGTCAACTCTCGATGATGAAACGATCAATGTTATTGTAAACGACTTCCATAAAGAACCGTATGACTATCTGCCTCGATTTTTTACGTGAACGAAGAGGACTTCAGCTCTTGGCTTGAACAAGATTGTCGCGATCATTATTTCGTTTGGATATGTCACGTACATTGAGAAAATAAACTAGATGACAAGAAGCAAGTATTTTATTTTAAACCTACAAATACTACCGTAACCATAACTCACGAGGCCAAAAATTGCGCCCAAAACCGCTCCTCAAGGCCCTCCTCTCCCCAAGATACCCCTCAAGGTGCCCTTCAAGATTCTGGGCAGGAACAGAGACAAAGGAAAGGAGACGCGTCTTTAAGAAGAGCCAGAAAGTCGGATATACAGCAAAGTTCCTGTACCTCCTTCTCAATACACCCTGATACATTATTGGCAGGGGTTCGGGCTACACCGCATTGCAATGCGATTTCCACATACTTCATGCCTGCGAGGTGCATCCCAACAATGATACCTTTTTGCTCGATGTCTAAGTGTCAGGACATGGTAGCTTACTCAAACTATTTATATCTGGGAAACGGAAGAAAGAGATTGAAGAAAATGTTTCCCTGCGAAGCTATTTCAGTATTTTATTTTTTTTGACTAAACTTCATTTTAGATGACTGGTTTTTACTGTCTACACAGCTTTTTTTTTTTTTTTTTTTTTTGGCTCAGTACTCTATTCGTCATTACTGTTGCATTTTCCTCTCCTCTTTTGGCTTTGAGCAAATGAGATAGATCTTTAGAGACAGTTCTTGTGAAGACAGTTCCATAGGTCAATGTTCTGGTTATTCATATAGGTGACTTGAACTTCCTGAAACTATTTCCACGTCCTCATTATCATCGTTCTCATTAACATCACCTGAGTTTCCAGGAAGGTTAATAGGCTGTTCTGGTTCACTAAGACTTGAGTTCATCGTGCTTTTTTCATTATGGTCCATGTTCTCTTTTTGGTAGGCGAAAGGTGACATTATTAGAGATCTGAGCCTGAAGAGAAAGGGCGTGATTTCCGATTTCCAGCACGTGTTGGAAGAAAACGAGCACAAACTTGTCGCTCATACAGCACAAACCTATTGGCGACTGTTCGGACTCCATCTGATACTGTATAAACACCTGAATACTGCCACATGCTATTGACTACTCTACGTCCCTTAAACAATATTCTTAGCATACATCTGAACTTTTGCAAGGGATGTGTCAATACTTCGACAAACATGTAACATTTAATGGCTACATCACAGCCCTTGGATTGTGGAAGCGCTGAAAGTATGCGGAAAACGGGAACCATTTGTGTTTTTACTAGCAACAAGCGTGGTTTCAAAAAAGTTTGCCTCCAAGGAACAAATCCTATATCCTTCATTGCTCAAAAGATACAATCTTGTCTTTTCTGCACCCCAAAAGCTCGCCATAATCCTATTGAAGCGTTCAGAGGCATTATTTGCCTCATAGTTTGAGGATTAGCAGACTTTCAGTCAAGTTTTATTGTTTTGAACAACACAGTAAATCCTGTCCATTCGAAGTTAGTCCCTTGGATGGCAGCTATTCAGGGGATGCTAATCAATTCCGCTAAATTATGGTGAAATCAAAGCAGATTTGGAAAACCAACAAGCATCGAACAGTCGCCTTAAGCAAGTGAGTGACCTCTCTGTGGCGCGCACGGACCATGGGGGCGACTTTTCAAATTCTTTTATAGAGATGAAATCCAAAGTCGCCCCAGTTAAATATTTTAGCCGTGATACATCTCAAAAATAAAGAACCTTATTAAATTTCTATGACAAGCCTTTTTATAGGATTAAGAACTATATTATTACTGATTACGTGACAAAAATTCTAAGTTGGGATATTTTAAAAAGTTTCTCTTTGAGCTCGTCGAAGCTGACATGAAGAAGATCTTTGTAATCTTGATTAATCCAGTGTGGTTTGGTGCACCAGGGGAACCACGCATGTAAACTATTTTAAATCCAGTTACTGGCTCTCCATCCTTTTTGACAACAAAATGTCCATCGTCAATTAGGCGGAATGATTACCTCCAAATACTTCGTCCAAATATTTTCAATCTGATTTTTGCCGTCGGACCTCTCCTTATAAAAGCGTTCTGGATCTTGCTTATTTGTCTTCTCTGTTCTTGGAAATACTTATGGACACCTGGATAAACATTGTGTCGAGTATGAAATCAAAGCGAGGATAACTCGAATGACAATGGCTCAGTACATGTCCATAGCCACGTCCAAGAGAAGTCATGCTTGATGGATTGTCCCATGATCCTTAAAGTCCATTATAATCTCGTTGGATTCTGCCGAAAGGTTTGTTGCTTGAGAACGATTGGCTTGGTTAAAGTCAAAAACCGGACCAGCAGTGCCAACTCGAAATCATCTCCACTCATCTCTCCAAAATAACTCCCCTCAGGATATGCTCATGATGAGGCATATTTGTAAACGCCTGAAAGAGTGCTTTCTGCGCTGGGAGGCACAAGACATAGTTTATGGCTCCGCGGTTCTTGTTGAGACGATAGATAAGCCCTAGGTCACGGAAATCCCATTCAAAATCACACTCTGCGAGTTGTTGCCAAGGAAGACTGTTGCAAGGCTTTTAGCGAACTTCTTCTTCGATTCTCGCTGCGAGATCGTAGTAGTCCAAACTACAGTGGAAACTCGCTTGTTCTCTCAGTTACATACATCAATGCTATTTCTTGTGAGTGGTCTTTCCTCAATTGACCGGATGAGAACATAAACTCTCGTGGCACACGGTTTGTAATCCTCATTATATCCTGGACAATATCGGGTTGGTTCAGGTGGACCTCCAACCATTTTGAAAACACTGTCTCGGATAGTGGGCCAACAAAGTACAATAAGGATACTCGAGCACTGTCTTCCATAATCTGCAATTCATATTTGGCATGGGCTGTTCCTGTAAATATCACTCTAGATCCTTTGTATTGAGACTCCATAGATTAAGGTTCATTAGATGCTTCAGGAACGGGTATTTATCCGGCACTACGGTTTTTCTTGGAATAACTTTCCATGTTCGTCGATAATGAACAGTGTTTTGCGCTCCTTCTGTTTGAATAGGTCGAATACTGCGCGAGCAGCCACAATTGAAATTACATTTCAGAAAAGTCGAGGAGACTTTCCAGATCAGATGCCGTCAAGATATCCCTGTTGAAAGCGAAGAAGCCTTAACAGTGCCTTTGCCGATTTTTATCCGACTTCCATTAATATCGCGGCATCTGGTATATAAAGGGTAAGCCACCCTTCCGCATATCCTTTTGCAGCAAGGAAATAGGATAGATATGACTTGCCAACCCCCATAGGACCAGAAAGGACTCGCCGATGAAATAACTTTGTTCAGCACTAATCTCCTTCCACAATTCAGCATCTGATCCGTAATATAAACCGAATTATATTCCTAAATTCTTTCGGTGTGGCCCAAGGATGGAATGTAACTTGATCACCAAGCTGATTATCGCTTTTCAGATGATTAAACTTATTACGTGATCGGGCGGGTCTTCAGGATTCTCCAGCATTGCGATCCAAGAGGGGTAACGTGACCATTTTGCCATCAGAAGCCCTGTATTCTCTCCACCCTTCCTCAATGCGCATCTTCTTTGAAGGTGAAATATACCGTGGATCTAATTATGATCATCGTACACATACACAGTTGGTTAGTACCATAACATATAGTCAGTCACCAAGTCAATCTATCTATACAGCAAAAAACAAATTATTACCTTCATCCATTTTTCTCTTGAGAATCTGTTCCGATGACTCTAGAAAGATAAGAGAGCGCGGCAATGGCAGAAATTTAGCATTTTGATCAGATCAAAGAATATATTGCTGTCAATGAGATATAAACGCCAGCTAATGGAGAGTCAGAGCATGTGTGCGAAACGCGAAACAGATTCAATCAGAAAAACTAACAAATGCATCAATGTAAACAGGTCAAATAAAAAATAAAAATAAAAATGAAAACTGTGTTCTCAGACAACAGTGAGAGTCAGAGCATGCCACGGACCAGGGGCGACTTTTCAAATTCTTTTATAGAGATGAAATCCAAAGTCGCCCCGTTAAATAGTGTTGCCGAGATTCATCTCAACAACATAAAAAAGGGAGGGATACACGTGACCGTGATGAGATAGCTTCATCAATTGAAAATATCAAAAACATCAGTCCATCAAAGCTAAATACATACCTTGCGCGGAGCTTGACAAAAATATGGATAGTTTCATCTGGAAGTTTAGAATTAAATATGTTCCCAAGCTTCTTTGACGCGATTGCGAGAGCCTCTTTTGACTCGATTTCTGACTCGACGATGGTCTTGCCTTCGTCAGGATGGAAACCTTGTAGAGGGTGAGCTTGTCTGCGGCAAACATATCGATTTCTGGCTTCTTCGCTGCCTTGATGGCTTGCTGGAGTTCGCCGACCGAACGATTGGAAAGATGTTTACAGAAAAGACGTTGCTTCTCCCTCAACAATACAAAAAATCTTTATTCAGTTGGCTCGGAGATTTTAGGCCCACTGGTGCTTGAACACTCTTCATACGGTTTAGGTCGAGGTGATGCGTTTCGAGATGGTGTTCTGGTCTTTCCCATTGTGATTTCAAAACTTTTAAAAACAAGGATATAAATGGACAGAGGCAGAAAAATAGGAAAAGTTTGATAAAAATGTTAAAGGATGTTAATTCAGTAGCAGGATGGTTCAAAATTGTGACAATGTAAGTTGTGATGATGAATTGAGGGAGGAAAAAAAAAGTTGCTGCGTGACGAAGGAAAAGGAGTGACAATTGATAAATCTGTTCCTTTTAAGTCAGGACTGAGGAATATTTTTTCAAATCATTCACATGTCATATTCTTTGTGACGTGAAAAGCAATCACAATCTTTCAGGTGCTTTCAGTTCAGAGAACAATTTATAAGACATATTTTATAATTGTCGTTCTGGCGAGCGACCACCAGAGCCATGCCGCGGTAGATTTAACGGGGCGACTTTGGATTTCATCTCTATAAAGAATTTGAAAAGTCGCCCCCATGGTCCGTGCACAGACCCATCTGCGCCGCCGTGTCACCACATCTGATAAAGTCCTGCAGAGGGCGGTGTGGCTTTTTTTTTAAATAAAGAGCATAAGGTCAAAGGGTCATGCGATTTACTTTCCATCCAATGAAATCATGCCATCTCATCTCTTTTCCTTATCACATCACAAAATGTTAAAACACTTTCATCGCCATGAGAAACATCCATTTTATTCCTTTCCTTCCTCCATCCCTTTCCCTTCGCTCCCTGAATTCCTCCACCAGTCGCTATAAGCCAAGACAACCAGTACGTACATGCTTTCTGCGCGCACCAATGAAGCCTGCTCTTAAACTAATACTCTGCAATTCATAAACAGTGCGCGAAGAACCCACTACCATCGAGATACTGCGCAAGCGGCTTGCTGCTATTTCGCTTGAACTCGCAGATGCAAAGGATGATCTTGAAATATCACAGGCACAACTTGAGGGCACCCTATCCTGTCTTTCTGAAACTCAACTTGAGCTGAAGAACACTAAGGATGCTCTTGCCAATAGCGAGCGTGCACGCCTGGAGGCCAACCGCGACCGAGTATTGAGTCGCCCTTATGGAAAGCAGGAGGTCTTTGCTATTTTGAAGTTCCGGCAGCCTCAGCCATTGCCTATTGGAGGCTATCGTCTCTTTGCGCTGCAGCGCAAGGCTGTCGATCGTACCTTGGACCAGTTCATTGCTGACAATCCTGACCTCGACCCCGTTGAGATTGCAGAGTTGCGATCTGATCGTTCTCCAAGAGGCGAAAACGTTTACCTACAGATGAAAGATGACGTGGCTGCACCAATCGACTTCAGCCGCCGCAACTTCGTTCTCAAGGATAGCAAGGCTGAGGAGGAGATGATCGTTTATGTTCAAAAGGTCTTTAACACCCATACTCAAGAAAAATAAGAATCATTCCCATGATAGTCTATTGTTCACTCAGTTTACAAAATAAAATGAAATTGCTACTCATATACTATAAACTATCAACATATTACCTACTATGTCTGAAAATACAAACCGGACTTACAAAAAATTTGAATCAGTTTACTTTGCTGCTGACAAGAAGCAAACCTTGGGTCCACAAGCAAGGGCTCACGAATGGGCTGATGCGAACAGTAATACTTTCTTTGTGATGTACGAAAGTGGCCTTTCTCCCGATGGCAAGAAGTCGTCTTATGAGTTTGCAAGCTACAAGGATCTACCTACATTTTTGGATATATATAACAAACTCCCGAACCCTTACAGATGCTTTTTCGAGCAAATCCGAGAAGGAAATCCCTGTTGTGAGTATTACGACATTGACTGGAAACTTGCTACGACCTCCAAGGGAAACACCGATACTCCTTCACTCGAAGACGGCGCTAGTCCACTCGTCCCTAGCGAGGGCATCGATGCTATTGCGCAACTTGAAAGACGAGTGTTTAGTGAGTTTCTTGCTGCTCGCAACCAATATGCACCGAAATATCCCGTCACCGAGAATCAATGCCGAATCTTGACTTCATCCACTCATAAAAAGATATCATTACATGTCATGATACCAACGTACACATTCGAGAACAATCACAGACACCTTCGGACATTCCTGCTTGATTTTTTTCAATGATATCAAAGCTGACCAGGATCAGAATGAAGGTAATCTGCTCAAGTACATTGATTCAGGTGTATACTCAAGAAGCAGAAGCATCCGATGTCTCGGAAGCTCGAAACGTAGAGACATAACCAGACGTTTCATCCGTGCCCCATGGCATCAGCCATCTATGCATGCATTGGATGCAGAATTTTTCATCACCAATGTTCAGCCCAATAGTATCAAAGTGGAAAAATCTCCAGCTGCCGACAGGTTCTCAAGGCGCCAGCGTAACCAGATACCGTCAATTTCAGCAGCACTTGGAGATGCATCTAGAGATATGACATTACCACACCAGTTGTCCGTATCTGTCGTCTCTGATGCTGTACATAGAATATTTGCACAGTACAAGCATGCAAACCTATACAGAATACAGTATGATGGCCAAGGTGGGATCTATAAGCTGCAACGAGTTCAATCTGGTCAATGCGATGTATGCAAGAGAAGACATGACAACGAGAATGGCTATCTTCAAGTGAATCGAAATGGAAGAGTGACGCTGTATTGCTACAGAGCTATTGCCGAGGGTTTATCTCGCAATATCCTCGTCGGGGAATTGGATTTCGGCGAAAAGATTGTCCTGAGACAACATCTTGCTACGTTGGACACAGATCAGCACTTGCATCCAGGCGAAGTGTATGCGTCACCCTACATCAAATACCACAAATCACCGATGAGTCTCTTGATAAGAAGCGAGACTGGCACTGGAAAAACGACATTCTTGGAGCAGTTTATTCAAATGAACCCAAAGTTGACGTATCTTGCAATATCTCCAAGACAGACACTGGCCTCCAGTCTAGAGAAGAGACTCGGGTTTAAAAGCTATTTGGATTTTCCCTCCACTTATATCAAAGGTCAGAAGATTGTCATACAAGCCGAATCTTTACATAAACTGGATCTTGCATACTACGCCATGGATGTTGTTCTGGTTCTAGATGAAGTGTCATCTATCTTTGATCAGATGACAAGTGTCGCCACCATGAGGGGCTTCCACAAGGCCAATAATGATATATTACGAGACTTCATTAAGGTATCCAGGAAGGTGATTGCCTTGGATGCTGATCTAACAGACCGAGACGTTCAGGTCATCAAGGAGCTTCGAGATGATGTCCACGTTATCCATAATACATTCAAGCCACAGCAAGGAGATCTCGTCTCTCTTTACGAGAATGAGGCTTCTCTGAAGTTAAAGGTTATTAACTTAGTCAAGTCTGGAAAGAAAGTGTGGATATGTAGCACACAGAAGGCTGAAGATGCTGAAAGTTTACATAGTGAATTGAAGGATATGGGGTTCATTGGGATGTGCATCACTGCGAATTCCCTGGAGTTGGAGAAGAGGGCATTTGCACAGAATATTAATGAAATCGCACCAACTCTCGACTATTTTATTCATACTCCAACCATCACAGTTGGGCTTGATTGTAACATGCAACACTTTGATTATGTTGCAGGATTTTTCATGTCACAAAGTAAAGTCAATGTAGAGACATGTAGGCAAATGCTCAGAAGAGTACGGCACGTCCAGCAAAAAGAATACCTTGTCTATATCAGCAATTCAATAAACAATCTTCCAACAACACACAACGAAATAGTCAAGTATCTTTGCAGCCAAGAGGTTCAAATCAAGGGATGCGCTATGGATACGAATGGCTTTCCGTTTGACCTGAGGGTAGGGCAAGGTCCTGGAGTGAAGCATGATGTTGGCGATATTTACTACACAATATTCATCAATGCACTGATAAAGAAGCATCTATCAATGAATGATTTTCTTCAACGTTTCATTGCTCAAATGGTTCAGGCTGGCTGCAGAGTTGTTGGGCTATCTAATCAGCCCAAGGACCTTAAGGTTTCTGAATCTCTGAAACAGAGGACAGCCGCCCTACTTCAAGCCAAGTATACAGGGATATCGGAGGCCAAGGTAATTGATTACGAAGAATTACTACGACTGGAGACAAGGTCAGACCTTTCTACCGAAGAGTATTACGCAGTACAAAAATTCAGGATTATGGACGCCTACGGCATTGAGGACCCATCTATCCTTACGCCTGAATGGGTGAAGACCTACAGTAACCCAAAAGAGATGAAGGTCTTTCAGAATCTGCGAGCCTTGAAGAACGACCCAGAGTTGAAGATGACAAAGCAGAGCGACTCGTATCCTCTGGGGAAAGATCAAGAAAGGAGGGACACTGGCGCCATACTACATAGACTACACCAATCAAAGTATACCAAACTAAAGTATGCAAAAGACATCCTCTTTGCCTGTGGTTATGACTCCCCATTTGATCCCAAATGTAGAGCATCCACTGCTCTCAAATCAAGCCTGGATGAGCAATGGGAATCGCTATCGTCAAACATGCGGAATATTTGCACACAACTTCTAATCCCGTACCCATCTCATAGCAACTGGAACTTCAGAAACCGGCAGAACTTTGTCAACTCTGTCTTGAATGAGGTTCTTGGTATTCATATAGTTGGAACTAACAAGAAAGCCACAAGCTATCATATAAAATACATGAGAGAGGTAGGGAAGAATTGGGAAGGTTTCTTCAATGATGGAACTAAATGAATACAATGGAGGGCTTGAGCAGATTACGATATTGTGTTCTTTTTGAAAAGTCATGGATTAATATTTAACCGGGGGCGACTTTGGATTTCATCTCTATAAAAGAATTTGGAAAGTCGCCCCCATGGTCTGTGCGCGTCATGGTGGTTTTTGAAAGTACGTGCAATCGGTCTCTAGAAGCTGATTTTGGTTCTCCAATAGTCTTGGATGCACTGTTTGTAGTTGGAATGCTGTAGAGCCACCCACGTTGCCTCAGAGATATCGAAGCCTTCCCATTGAACCAGAAACTCCATGTCCTCACCTTCTCCGCGATGGTCTAAAATCCTAGCAATCTCGTATCCCTCCTGCGCTGTCTCTGCCATAGTCTCATCTGCAGTGTCTAGTATGTTAGGTTGCGAACTAGCTACAGATAGGAACGCTTCTTGTAGTTCTAAAAGACTTCGACCATGATTTAGTTTGACTTTGATGCTGGGGAGCTTCTCATAAGCAACCTGATACTCATTATTGTCTGGAAAGTCAAACGCATCTTGCATCCAGAATGTGTGGTGCGTCTGAGTGGGGATATTATGGATTGACACGACTCTCTTGATATTCATAAGCAGGCAACAAAGCTTGAATTGGAGATCAAACGTCTTTGCGTCTGAGAAACGGATGGGAGCGTCGTGTGTGAACTTGGAGAAGGTGGATTGCATGTCTCCAAAGCACCCTTCGATGCTTGACCGAAACCCACCAAACGCTTTATTGTAATGTAACTCTTGGTCTGTCATGGCGATCCCCCTAGTCTTGCGCACAGGATAAGAGAAATTTTCGTAGGACAGTGCATCTGATGGTTCGACAATTTGTTTAACGAACCCACTGTAGCCACCGTCAAGAGCAACACAGTCCAGCTTGTGTATATGCGATGCAATGTTCATCTTCACAAGCATAGTCCCATCATTGAAATCTCGACAAGGAGCTGGCTTGGATGCAAACAATATGATATTGTTCATGTCTGAACACACTTGAATACGAAAACCCGACTTCTTGAGTTTATAAGAGTAGAGACTTGGCTTGTCAGCACCGATGTAGCTGACTCTTGTGTCATGTCCGTCTAGATTCAATGTCACATGCTTGAATGGATCAGGGTTGTTCTTGGCAAGTAGCAATCGTAGCTTCAAACTCGAGCACATATCTCTCATCATTGAGGTTATGTCATCATGTAGTTTCACAGGGTCCCGAAGATAAAATTCCCTGTGCAAGTCGTAAAAGGACGTCTTTGGTATGAACCTTGACATTGTAGACAATGAATCTCCTGTGATTAGTGCATACAGGAGCAGAAGACCCTTTTCGACATTACGATATGGGCTACCATAGTCACGCACTCCAAATACTTGTGTCAGAAAAAAGAACGTAGGGATGAATCCTAGACGGTCAAGCACCATTGACTTGACGTGTGTTACGTCAGAAATCTCTTTCATCTCTGTGCGATGAAACTTGGCTTTCTTTATAGCTGGCCACTCCTCTTGCATGAACCTCCACTGAGCCTCAACAAGGCGTACATATTCCTCAGAAACAGCGCTCATACATATACTCTTTGCAAGCTATTGGATATAAAGCGCTTTATTACAACTCCTCTATATTATTCCATGTGTTCACTTTATTTTCATCTTACCTATTCAAATATTCACTTCAATTTACAATCCATCCGAATATGGCGACTGTTCGGACTCCATCTGATACTGTATAAACACCTGAATACTGCCACATGCTATTGACTACTCTACGTCCCTTAAACAATATTCTTAGCATACATCTGAACTTTTGCAAGGGATGTGTCAATACTTCGACAAACATGTAACATTTAATGGCTACATCACAGCCCTTGGATTGTGGAAGCGTTGAAAGTATGCGGAAAACGGGAACCATTTGTGTTTTTACTAGCAACAAGCGTGGTTTCAAAAAAGTTTGCCTCCAAGGAACAAATCCTATATCCTTCATTGCTCAAAAGATACAATCTTGTCTTTTCTGCACCCCAAAAACTCGCCATAATCCTATTGAAGCGTTCAGAGGCATTATTTGCCTCATAGTTTGAGGATTAGCAGACTTTCAGTCAAGTTTTATTGTTTTGAACAACACAGTAAATCCTGTCCATTCGAAGTTAGTCCCTTGGATGGCAGCCATTCAGGGGATGCTAATCAATTCCGCTAAACTATGGTGAAATCAAAGCAGATTTGGAAAACCAACAAGCATCGAACAGTCGCCATTGCCCAAACAGCGCGAACCTGTTCTGAAACAGCATGAACCTGTTCTGAAACAGCACAAACCCTGTTCTGAAAACAGCACAAACCTATTGCACAAACAGCGCTAACCTGAAGAAAAGCACACAGGCTTGTCCTTGAATAAAAAAATCCACAATCATCTGCATGCATAACAGGCTTCTTCTCTTTTCGCACTACCATTGCCATTGCCATTCTCATTCAATTCTCAGAGAACCTTCTGCATCATCCCTAAAGACACGCTTAATACCACGAACAGTTGACAGATTAACTTTATTTGTCTGATCTTGTCTCGCAAAGCGGCCATGTACTTTAATAATTCAGTAAATGCTCGGCATCTCTGCCTCTGCTTTCTCTTTATTACTAATGTTGACTATATATAGTCAAAGCCAACTTCTACTTCCATAGCTAGGCTTCTATATCTCTATATCTCAAAGATCTTAAAGACCAATAATCATCGTCTGTGACGCCAAGTAACACTGATACGATTGTACTAGATTCTTCTCTTGCCACTCTTTTTGGGTTTAGTAAAAGAAGTCTTGCCCTGGCTTAGCAATGCTGAAGTCCCTGTCCCTCAGGCACCATGGTTGTCACTCCGTGGAATATATACTTTATTCTTGAGGCAGATGTTAAGTGTAAGTCATTAAAAATGGTATGAGGGAAAGTTTTTTATCATTTATTTCTTCAACCGGCATGGCGATACGGCATATTCTCATCGGGATATCAAAGTAAAATTTAAACATAATGCCATGTTAAAGTTGCTCTCTGGCCTATCCAATGTCCTATTAGTTGACTTGTCTTCTAACTCAAGAACGCTCTCATAAAAGAAAGGGGTGAAATGCGCCCGACATCTGCTTGATCAAACATTCTTTGAAATTGATGAGTGGTTTGTAAATCCTCTAGTTGATCCTAGATATTTGCTTCGAGAATTAATAGATGAAGAATTACCACATTACGATGAGTAATCAGAAAAAAAGCTGCAAAGTCAAAGGAAGATGTCCTTATGTCATCACAACGGCCTGGGCCTCTGTCTGAGCATTAAAATATAGCGAGTTTCATTGATGGAGTCCAAAATATAGACGCATCTTTCAGAATAAAGCGATTAAAACTTAATATTGCCAATCACTTTATACTATATACTTTCACAAATAGTGGACAAAATACAACATTGTTGATGCGCAGTGTAGATAAAAACGCTTAATTTATTTCATTGTAAGTCTAACAAAGTCCGAATCTTCTCAAAGCTGTGACTAAAAATGATGTTGCGCACATTTCGATCACTGAGGTTGGTCCTAAGTGGAGAGAGGACTAGCCCTGCCTTACTGAACAAACGCTCAGACTCAGTTGATGTGGACTGGATACAGAGGTACGAGCACGCGAAGTGGGCAAGATCCCCAACTGAGATATTTTCATCGATGCCATATGGCCTCCAATAGTCCTGAGGCTTATCTTTAAAGCGATCGTGATTGTAGTCCGGCGAGCGTACCGATGAAGCGTAGAGCTCTACCGCAAAATTCGAAGAGAAGTAGAGTATCTGATAATCACTCGTTTGCAATGGATTTTTTGTCACTGTATTATTCTCTTTGAATATCTTAAAGGCTTCGCTGCAGAGTTTTTTTGCTTTTATAAACAGACTTTCCCCACTAGCATGCATCGTATCCTTTAAGATCTCCCTCGATAAGGAGGAGCCGCCCGAGCTCCGCAGCCTTGAGCTTTTCGTCTTTGGATCCTGCCCTCATTAATTGGTAGACCGCTGTAATTGCTTCTGAAACTTCAAGCACCCTTGCTGCCATGTTGAATTTTGAGTTCCATCGCGTGACATTCGTTGTAAGCAGTTTGACCAATTTTTTGTTACTTTTGCTACGCTGATTGTTAAGCATATCCATAGCAAGACTGGAGCTTCTAAAGAAGGTTGAGATCTTTTGGCATTTTTCCATCACCGCCTTAGCTCCAGAACTTCGTTCCAATGCCTTATTGATACATAGCTGTATTACATGGGAAACAGGGAAGCCAGGTAATACTCTTCTTTAGATTATAAAGTTGTATGGCTCTTTTTATGTTCAACCCTTGATCCGTTGTTGCACAGATCAAATGCCCTTCCAAATTCCATCTTGCGATTACACGTTCTATAGAACAAATTCCAGGATTAAAAGTGTTATTTGCATTGGTCTCAAACAGGCAGTAAACCGACAGAGCTAAAGCAATGATATTCTAACCAAGCTTTTCCAATAGGACTTCTGCCGATTGAGGGCCTTGGACTCGTTTCATGCCAATTACAACTGAAGCCGGCTGAAAGTCATGTGTTAGAAAGTGAAATGTTACTCCAAAGAACTTCCTTTGATCACCGCTTGTCCAACTATCCGCTGTGATTGCGCCTTGAATTTTACGATCAGTGATGTATCTCGATTTGCGATTCATATAGCGTGTACCATGTCTCCGATGCTCCATGACTGGTACGTAGGTTAGGTCGACGCTGCTCCAAAGCTTCAGCTTCAGCTGCAAGCAGGGTTGCTTGTGGGTTGTCAAAAGATAAAGGATAGGCTAAATCTCGTGAGATCTGAGGAAGTCCACGAAAAGAGGAGGACGATGAAGATGCCCGAGAGGTCTGGCGCAGGGAGATGGGCGATCGGGCTGAACGCCATGAATATCTCTATGCCGTCCAGAGTACGATGAAGTAACTGAGGAGAGATAAGACCTAGGCTGTGGACTGCGATAATAATGAAAGCCCTCGGCCCTTTGTAGCGGTTGTAGTGGG